CCCACCAACCCCCGGCCTCTGCTGTTCTGGAAGCATAAGCGGCTCATTCCTGTCCCAGGGCCTTTGCGCCTATCAAACACCGCTACCTGAATGATCTCCTTCTGCAGTATTCTCAGCTTTCTGTCTTCCCTTCTTCGAGCCTGCTCAGTTTAATGTCTCTGCCCACCCTGATTTAAATCCCCAAATCCTACTCTGCACGTTTTATCCCCTTCCTGGCTTTACCTGTCACCACACCTCCTACCACCTAAGTTACCCTGTCACCTGCTCACTTTTTATCACCTGACTGTCCCAACCCTAAGTGGTGGGGATGGGTCTGTTTTGTCTCCTGCTGTTCCCAGGGTTTAGAACAGGGCCTGGCCTGGACAGCTGTCAGCGAATGTGGGTTCAACCAATTCCTGTGTTGGCTGAGTACCTATTTTGGATCAGGCACTGGACTTGGAATTTGGGTTGCCCAAAACAGTGAGCAGAACAGAGTGGCCAAAAGGGGGTGACAGGGCGTGGGGCCACCCAGCCAGGGCCCCGGAGGGCTTGCTGGGGGAAGGGACATCTGAGTGTGGCCGGAAGCCCAGCCTGCTTCACAGCGGACGGAGCGGCCCGCGTGCTGGGCAGCGTGGGGACAGATGCCTACCGTCCTTGCTCCAGGCGACCTTGGGGAAGGGGACGCCGCGGCACTCGCAGGACAGCCGGGCAGGCTGCCCCTCGGTCACAGCCAGGGTGCGGAGCTCCCGTGAGGGGAAGGCTGGAGCGACTGAGGCAGAGGAGAGAGGTGAGCCGGGGCTGAACGGGGAAGGGAGAGTGGGCAGCCCCTCCCCAGGCCCCAGCCCTGCATGGGGGCGCTGGGGGCCCTCACCCCAGACGTTCACGTCGAAGTGCTTCTCGGAGCGGCCGGCGCGGTTCAGGGCCTCGCAGGTGTAGTGGCCGGCGTCCCCCACCTCCACCCTGGCCAGCTGCGCAGGGAGATCCGGTCAGCAGGGGAGGCCGAGACGGGTGCCCCTACAGCCCATGGGACCTCCGCTGTGTCACGTGACCCTGAGGAGCCCCAAGCTCCCTCCCGGAACCCCACGGCCCACTGGTACACAGAACAGCCCCTGACAGCCACCTGGCCAGCTCCCCACTTCACCCCCACATCCCAGGCCTGCTAAGGGGGCTTGCACAGGGCAGGGTCCTGCCTGACACAGGAAGACAGCGAAAGGAGAGGGAAGCAAAGCTGTCAGGTGGGGATGGTCCTATCACAAGGTGTAGAGGGCTGGGAAGGAGGAGGGTTCAGCTGTGGGGTTCCTGGCGGAAGTTCTGAGGGCTCAGGCCGGGGCTGCTGGTCACACTGAGGTGACGATGCTGTCGGGGTTCTGGGGTGCCTGCAGGCCCAGCTCCTCCGCGGCAGCTGCACTGTGGCAGAGTCCTGGTCAGTGCCGGTGGCCGCGCACCTCCAGCAGGGCTCTGTCCTCAGAGAGGCGGACACCGGGATGCGGCAGCAGGGGCCGCCCGTCCTTCCACCAGCTCAGCTCGGGACGGGGAACGGCGTGGCTGTGGCACTCCAGGGTCACGGACGTGTTGGCCACGACGGAGATGTTCAGCTGTTCCCCGAGGATGTGGGGGGGCACTGTGAAGGGGCAGGAGGGCCCCTCAGGTGCACGGTGGGGCTGGTAGGACGGGCCACCACCAGGGCTGGGCTGGCCACTCCCAGCCACCCAGGCAGACACCAGCGGATGGAAGTCACCGCCGGGAGGGGCCACCCGGCCTCCTCCACCTTGCCCACCCCACGGTCCTGATTCGGAAGGAAGCCCCCGTGCCAAGTAAGACTGGCACGCCAGGTCCCTGGGGCAGGAGGAGACTCCCACCCGGGGACAGAGGACACGCAGCACAGGGCCTCTCCCAGTTCTTCTCACAACTGCACGTGACTCCATGATGTCCAGAATGACATCAAAAATGTAAAACAAGGCCGGGCATGGTGGTGCGCGCCTGTAATCCCAGCACTCAGGAAGCTGAGGCAGGAAGATTGCCACAAACTCAAGGCCAGCCTGGACTACACTGAGAGACCCTGCCTCAAAAAACAACAAAATTACAAGAACAAAAACAAATAAAAAAGTCCCCAAAGCAGACCCAAACCACCTTGCCCCCGAGACAAAAACAGCCAGTGGAGTCTGGCAGTTAAGAATACAGGGCCCGAGGGGCCAGGGGCTTAGCTCAGCGGTGCCCCCTTCAGAGATGAAGACAGGGCACTCCAGGGAACAGAGTGACGGGCCCCAGGTCCCGGAGGCAGGATGTGAACCTGAGTCGCACGACATGAAAGGGCCAGTGCTGCTAGTCACCCCCACATTCCCCTTCTGGAAGGGACTGTCACCCCCAAAGGACTAGAGCTGTGAGGGCCCGGGGTCTCCTGACTCTGCCTGCCGCCCCTCCTACTACTTCCTGCTCCTCCCCCGGCTTCCTGAACACGGAGCTGCTGGCTGTACAGGGCCACGGGCTGCCCACGCCCTCTCCCCAGGGACGTCACACTCCAGGACAGGTCTGATCCCAGCCACCGTGTGGGGCAGGCGTCTCATCCACCCAGCCACTCTCGCTCCTCTGGACAGGGCTGGGGACTCCCACCCCCCACCCTGGAGCTGCCAGTCGGGACCACAGGGCCACCCGCTGGACACTCACCGTGGACTTGCAGGGTGACGTTTCGACGGTCCTCACCCACGGCACTCGCAGCCACGCAGGAGTAGCTGCCCGAGTCAGAGGTGCGGGCACTGGCCAAGGCGAGGACGCGGCCCCCAGGGAAGATCTGTGTCCCCAGAGCAAGGCTGTCACCTGTGCTCTCCCGGCACAGGGACAGCACCCCGTCCTCACAGACCCTCGGGGACCCCACACACGGGGCAGGGAAGCCAGGAGCTGCATCCAGACCTCTGCTGGGCCATCCCCCTCCTGACATGGCCTCTAGAGCCACACTGTCCACTGCAGTGGCCACCGGCCATACGCACATAAGAAACTCTGGATGTGCCACCGAACTGAGAGGGGTCATCACAAACGTACAAGGTGTAACAGAAAATGTGGTCAGGGTTTAAATTTTAAAAATCATCACAGTAAAAGACACACTGCCATGAAACCCCACAAAATCTCCCGCTTCACCTCATAGGCATTTTTTTTTTTTGGTACCAGGAATCGAACTCGGGTCCTTGTGCTTGCGAGGCAGGCAGTGGAACCACTGAGCCAAATCCCCGGCCCTATTCCCCCTCAGTTCAAATATTTATGCATCCCACAGTCCTTGCCACTTCCTGCAGCAGCTCTGGAGTCCTCTTTCCCGAAGGTCTTTAGTTGCCCTGTTGTGGCAGCCTCGTGTCCTGAATCGATTCAAAAACTGACTTTTCATGGTCATTTTGACTGTGGGAAGGAGCCAGAGTCCAGGGTCAGCTCCAGCGAGTAAGGTGGATGAGGATGTGGCAGTGTGTTTTTAGGAGCTGCCTTTTTGTTGAACAGCGCTGGGCAACAGCGTTCACCGTGTTTTCAATCACAGCTCGTACAGACACGCAGGAAAGAGCACTTCCAGAGCTGCGGCAGGAAGTGGCGAGGGCGATGGGATGAGTTTGTTCAGAGCAAGGGGGGGGGGACTGTGAGGGGAATCAATAGCAGTGTCGCTTACTGTAATAAATTTGAAAACTTAAACATTCACCACATACTGTATTTTGATCACACTACGTAAAACACACAGCACAATTCAGAGTTAGTGTGAAAAGAATATACAACGTCGCATCAGTAATCTTTATACTGATCATAGAATGAAGCAAACTGCTCTGGATGTTTTGGATTCACTGTCAAATTAAGATGGATTTCACCCACTTATTTTTAGTTGTTTTAACAAGGCAGGGAGACAACACAGACGGCTGGCACACACACGTCAGCCAGGGCAGCTTGGGTTCTCCCGAATCCGCCGTTCCCAGGGCGCAGCCACTGCTCTCAGCCCCCACTCACCCTCCTGGGGCCACCCAGCCTTGCTGACCTGGAGGCCAGGGGTCCCCGCAGGTGACACGGGGTTTCCATCCTTCAGCCATATCAGCGTGGGGCTGGGGGCACCCGAGGCATTGCAGGTCAGCCGGACAGGGGCACCAAGCAGCACAGGGCCTGGCAGGCTGGGCGGCAGAGTGATTCGTGGGGGCACTGCAGAGTGGGGTGGCAAGGACAGCGGCTGAGCTGAGGAACACGGGCCACCCACAAAAGTGCAGGGGCAGCCGTGCCAACCGGGCAGTCAGTCCACAGTCCTCAGGGCTGTTCACCCATCCTTCAGCTCCTCCAAAGAGTTTCCACCAGCGGGAAAGTGAGGTTCAGAGAGGGGAAGTCAGCTGCCTAAAGTCACCCAGGTAGGACTCCTCCTGAGTGTAGGCCTGGGGTCCACAGCAGGAAGGCATCTGCCGTGGCGTGGCGGCGGGGTCAGGGAAGAGCAGAAGGCCCTGAACTTCCCTCTCTTTCAGCTGTAGTAAGCTCCAGGCCTCCAGCCTCCCTTCAGTTTCTTGGATTTCCCACGTCTCTGCAGGTTCAAGGCCTGGAGGTCTCAGCTGTAGGAGAGGCCTCCTGGATGCCCCAGTGACCAGCATGCAGTGGATCTCATGTTTCCTAGCTCTCACCACGAGGTCAGAATTTGCACGTTGAGTCACGCTCTAATCACTAAAGCCTACACTGGACTGAATTTCTTATTCAGGGCTGTCGTGTCAGGGACTTCTCCAGAGCAAGTATTCAATAAATGTGGTTGGACAGAAGATGCAGAGATGGAGGGAGGGGTTGCTGGATGGATGGATGGATGGATGGAGAAATGAACGGGTAGATGAATGGTTAGATTAGTGAATGGAGAGCCAGACATTTGTATGCACGGGTGGAAAAATAGCTGGCTGGCTAGCTGGATGGTGAATGGCTGGATGGGTGGAGGAACGAGCAGGGAGAAGGACGAGCAGAGGCTGTGAGTGGAGGGGGCTTGGATCGAGCAGAGGTTCGCATGAATGAATGGAAGGAGGGCCGGCCGGGTGGGGAGCGGACGTGTAGGTAA